GTGAAACTGGGTCCTTGAGCCCCTATATCTTACTGAGACTCTTTTGCCAGTAGAAACAGTCCTTCCCTCTGTCTGAGAATGACTGAAACTTGGACCAAAAAGTAGTCTCCACTAAATGAAGTTGAAATACCAGAACTTCCTTAGTATACTTCCATGGTACAGCAGTGATTCTTCTTTACTGGGGCAATTTTGTTCCCCAGGGAAATCTGGCAATGTCTGGAGACGTGTTTGGCTTTCACAGCGCGGGTGGGTACCATTGGCATCTAGTGGGTAGAAGCCAGGGATGCTGCTGAACATTCTGTAATGCACAGGACAGTCCTCCACAACAAAGAATAATCCAGTCCAAAATGTCAATAGTGCTGAGATTGAGAAACTTTGCCATAAAAGAAGGTATCCAAAGGCTTAGGGAGATTGGAATGTTAGACTGGATTTATCCTGCTCACTCACCCCCTAAATATATCTCCTTCCTTCTGCAGAGCTGTGAGAAGTACATTTGTGAAGGCAGCCTTGCCCTCCTTGAAGAGGTCTATGGTAATGATTTCCTATAAGCCAGAAATGACAGTAGGAATTTCTGGGCTCCCTGAGTTCAGTAGGGATGATGGGATTGTGGGATGGCAGGGGTCAAGCGGCAGCTTTTAATTGACAAAGACAAGGAAAGCATGATTACTGTGATGGGCAGCAAAGCCTAAGCAGTAATCAATATAGTCTAAGCCACAAAGATCTTTGGCATTTTGGCTAATTGATCATGTTGTACCTAGAGTTGAAAGCGGTGAGCAGCATGTAAGCAGAAAAGCTCTAGGTCTGGCGAACAGAAGTTTGACTTGAATCATCACAATAGAGAGCCATGGCCCCTCAACCAATTCCCAAATTTGAGCCAATTCATAGACCCAAGGTCCCTGGAATTAACGAGAGGTCAGATCTCCTTAAGGAAAGACCCTGTTTCACAGCCAAAAATGCAAATACTATAAATCCTCCTTCTAGTCTTCCCCAAAGGCACCTGTGACTACTCAGCAGGGTGCCTGTGCAAGAGGAAGGGGAGATAATCACATTTGTGGGACATTGTTAAATATTGATTTTGAATTGACACTAATGCCTGGAGAATTAGTGTGTTCTACCAGTCGAACTAGGAGTTTATGGTCAGGTCAGTGGAGTTTTGCTGTGGGTCTATTTTACAGTTGGTCTGGTGGGTCCCTGAACTTACCTTATGTTATTTCCCCAGTTATGGAATGTGTAATTGGAATGGACATACTCAGCAACTATCAGAATCCTCACGTTGGTTCCCTGACCTGGGGAGTAAGGGCTATTATGGTAGGGAAAGCCAAGTGTAAGCCATTGTTGGTTTCTTAAAAATTAATTAATTAACTTATTTTTGGCTGCGTTGGGTTTTCATTGCTGTGTGCGGGCTTTTCTCTTGTTGCAGCGAGTGGGCTTCTCATTGTGGTGGCTTCTCTTGTTGCCGAGCACAGGCTCTAGGCATGTGGGCTTCAGTAGTTGTGGCACGTGGGCTCAGTAGTTGTGGCTTACAGGCTCTCGAGCACAGGCTCAGTAGTTGTGGCACATGGGCTCAGTTGCTCTGCAGCATGTGAGATCTTCCCGGACCAGGGCTCAAACCCGTGTCCCCTGCATTGGCAGGCGATTCTTAACACTGTGCCATCAGGAAAGTGCAGTGTAAGCCATTCTAAATGCTTCTATTACCAAAGCAATACTGCATTCCCAGAGGGATTGTAGAGACTAGTGTCATCATCAAGGACGTTAAAGATGCCAGGGTGGTGATTCCTACCACATCTCCATTCATTTTGCCTCTTTGGTCAGAAGACAGATGGATCTTGGAGAATGATAATGGATTTCTATAAACTTAGTCAGGTGATCAGTCTAATTGCAGCTTCTGTACAGGTGTGGTTTCATTGCTATAGCAAATCAACACAATTTTTGCTGTTTGTTTTGCAGCTATTAATCTGATTGATTGCTTTTTTCTGTATACCTTTTAGTAAAGACCATCAGAAGCAGATTGCTTTCATCTGGCAGGGCCAGCAGTATACTTTCAGTGTTCAGTCTCACGGCTGTGTGAACTCTCCAGCCCTATGCCACAATCTAGTCTGCAGGACCTGGATCATCTCTCTATTCCACAAGACATCACATTAGTCCATTACATTGATTTGATCTATCAAGGGTAAATTGTTACTATACTGGTAGGGTAAGGAGGAGTGTGTCTGGAATGTATACCTTCTGGGGCCTTTCTTAGTAGTCCCATGTCATGTGATTAAAGAAGGTGGAAAATTATACCCAGTACAGGAAGGATCATTAATGACCCAGATCATTTAAGAATGTTTGGGTCAACACCCCAGTCAAATAACCATGAATAGCCAAGGTGCTTTCGGAAGGCAAAGGGTGGATGAAATGGCCAGTGGAAAAACATAGTTATAGTATGAGCCATGATCATCCGACCAGTTGCAGAAACAAAGACTGTGATAGTTATGAATATTTCTTCCTTATTATTATTTTTTTTTTTTGCGGTACGCGGGCCTCTCGCTGTTGTGGCCTCTCCCGTTGTGGAGCACAGGCTCCGGACGCGCAGGCTCAGCGGCCATGGCTCACGGGCGCAGCCGCTCCACGGCATGTGGGATCTTCCCGGACCGGGGCACAAACCCGTGTCCTCTGCATCGGCAGGCGGACTCTCAACCACTGCGCCACCAGGGAAGCCCCTTATTTTGATATGAATACACTTGTGTATACAGTCACCAATTTTTTTTCTATTTGCCATTTCCATTTACCCACCATCTAATATAGGAAGTGTTAATAGTAATTAACTTTATATCTCAGGATTTAAGTCACAGGATATCAAAAGGGAATATGACTCAGCTCAAAGATGAATCAACATCACCCAAAGATGGACAAAGGGATTTTGTATCCTCTTTTGGGAGAGAGTTAGCATGTTTTTGGTTATACAAGGGATGGTTGATTTTGCCATTGTCTTTATTTGAAGGTAAGTGTATTAAAAGAGGTGTATATGGATGCCAGGTTGACAAGGGATAGACAGTGACGGATTTGTAATGTATCAACTTAGCTAAACTATAACTAGATTTTCCAGAATTCCTTTCCTTTCATTCCCTGAAAAATTGCACAAGAGACATTTTGCGTGAGATTTAGAAGGTAGAAGTAAAGCAGCAACCAAATTCTTTTGACCTGGGAAGGCACTGTTGCAGCATAGTTTTGCTTATCTGCTGGCCCACCTGGTTGGCATGGGGCAGCAATCAGGAGTGCAGCTACCATGGCTCCTGCTGAATTTCCTCTTTCACCTTCTCTGACTCCTTGGCCAGGTCCATGTTTAGCTCCAGGATGAGGGGCATTGGCTTTTTCTATGTCACTCCATCATCAAATTTGGAGGTTTAGAGATGGTGAGAAATCCATAAGGATTCCAGACCTTGCAGGTTCCAGATTTTTCTTGCTTCTCTCACTTTTCATCTACCTTTTCTAACTGCTTGCTCTGCCCACTTCAGGTCCCAGATCCTGATACATAAGAAAGAGCCTCACAATTACATAAGTCCAAATACCTAAAATAAATCTCTTACTATATGTCACTACTCCTAGTTCTGCAGTCTCATCAAACACTGATTGATTCACCTACCATACCAAACTGTGTCGAGTTCCACTAGCATGCCATGCTTCTGTGCCTTTGTTTTCTTCCCTTTGCCTAGAATCCTGACCTCCTTCTCTGCTTCGTTAATTCCTCTACATTCTTGGCTCATCACATGGTTTGCATCCTTAGAGAAGCCTCCCTGGACTCTCAGCCCTAGTTAAATGCTTCTCCTTTGTGCTTGTGCTTCCATAGCAACCTGTGTTAATCTTATTGTAGTACCTCTGACTTTATATTGTCTTCTCCTGCTCTTGATCTCTCTCCCTAAGGAGATTAAACTAGTTGAGGGTAGAGAGTTAGTTTCACTGCTGTATCTCTAGACCAGCACAGTGCCTTGCACATAGCTCATGCTCATAAGTGTTTTCTGAATGATGAAAATGAGGCCTGTTACTTCATAGTAAAGTTTCTTGTTGTATTTTGTTCACGACTCACATATCACAGCTCACAGTAAAGAGATAATTACCATATAACTCCCTATAGGCAAGCCCCACACCCATCATCCCATAATCCTAGACCTACTCAGGCTGATTCTACTTTGCACAGCATGAAGGGGAGCTAAGAACATTGTGACTTGTTCTCATTAATGTAGACAAAAATTTTAGGTAATTTAGGTCCCAAAGTAGACTCCTTGTTAGAACTAAATGATTTAGCTGTTGATATAACCTGAATCAACCAGATAATTTTACACCCACTCTTTGGATTTGACTGTGTAAATATTGCTTAATTTATAGACTAATAAAAAATTACCTATTGCTCAGGCTTGGAATAGCTGAGTTATACAGGGTATAAACTCTTCACTGCTCCTTTCACTGTAGAGGATAACAGAAACTATAACCTAGTTCTCCACTGGGTTTTTCTTTTTTTAGATTGAAGTATAATTCACATACAATTTGAATTTATGTTGTACAACATAATGATTCTATATCTGTATGTATTGTGAAATGATCACAATAAGCCTAGTTAGCATCTATTACCATATATACAGAATTTTTTTCTTGTGATGAGAACTTTTAAGATCTACCCTCGTAGCAACTTTCAAATATGCAATACGGTATTATTGACTATAGTCACCACGCTGTACATTACATCCCCATGACTCATTTATTTTATAACTAGAAGTCTGTACCTTTTGCCTACTGAGTTTTTTTTTTTTTTTCAGTGCTTAAAATACCAAGAGATTAAGCCTATAACTGGGCAGCAACCTCAACCAAGTGAAGATCACTGTCTTTCTTATCCTTCCTCCTCCATTACATCATCTTGACCCAATATTCGTGAATGAATATATAAAAATACTAATATGAATGGATGAATAAATCAAAATACTCTCAAAGACAACTGAACACAAGATACAAATTAAGCAGGTTACCTAGAGTCACAGCTCTTACAACAAATCCTTGGGGAGCAACTCTCATGTGAATAAGATGAATGGACATTTTCTGATCTCTTCTGTGTTTTAACTTGTAAAGACCATAGGACCCCACAGTCGTAAAGCCTGCTATCCCTGTGAATTAAAAAAGTAGCGATTATATAAATAGCAGGCTAAAATTCCCAAGAGCTTAGAGAATTGAATAAAAGACTGTGCAAGGGATCAGTACCTGGAAGATAAGCAGGCAAGATACCAAAGGATACTTCACTCATGGATTCAATATTTGCAGTTTTGACTCTTCCCAGAAAAACCTGAATTGTATACTATAGTAACTTGTCTAGTAACTTCTAATTTTCCTGAGGCATGGCTTCAGATTTATAGGCTGCAAGCCTTTTATTTGGGGCAAGTCACTTAACCAGCGAGTGAACCAACCAAAATCTCAGCATTCATAGCTTTTGGGTGTTTGGCTTTATTCCTCTCTACCTGTTACTAAATAAGGAGTAAATCTAGTAAAGTGAAAGAAACTTTACTCTTCTGTGAAAATGAGATATTAAATTTTAATGAGAGGTAAAAAGGTCTGAATATTTGCATGAGAAGTATGTGACTCTGGGAAGAACTGTGATTCTAGAAAATTCCAGAAGCCCATACAAATATTTCTGTATTCACTACATATGTCAAGGGGTGAATATACTGCTGGGACAACCAAGATTCTGTGTAATTCACTCTAAAACAGAAAACTGAATAGGAATCAACTGAATAGGGAAAATTCTAGAAAGCGATTTGAAACACTGTGAGAACTTAACCCATGACAAATCAAGATAACCAAATAACAGATAAGGGAAAAACTATTTGAACTAACTTGGATTTGTATCTTACACCAGACCCTACAAAAATAGTCTGGATGGGTTAGAATTAAATATGAAAATAAAAATATCAACAAAATCTAGAAGAAAATAGAACAGCATATTTATAACATCTAAAAGGGGGTAAGGTAGACTTAAAAAAGTGACAAGGACAAAAATGCTATATTTTGACATAAGAGTAAAGGAAACTTTTGCATAATAAAAGTGTGGCTCTATTTTGGGGGATCTCTCTTCTATCCTATTGATTTATGCATCTATCCCTTCATCAATACCACACTGTTGATTACTCTATATATTAAGCCTTAGTATCTGGTAGGAGTGATTCCTTCCACTTAATACTTTTTAAAAAATTATTATTAAAGGTATCCATCCTTGAGATCAACTGCCTTTTTTTAAAAAAATTTATTAAATTTATTTATTTTTGGCTGCATTGGGTCTTCGTTGCTGTGTGCGGACTTTCTCTAGTTGTGGTGAGTGGGGGCTACTCTTCGTTGTGGTGTGCAGGCTTCTCATTGCAGTGGCTTCTCTTGTTGTGCAGCGTGGGCTCTAGGCGCCTGGGCTTCAGTAGTCGTAGCACGCCATCTCAGTAGCTGTGGCTTGCGGGCTCCAGAGCGCAGTCTCAGTAGTTGTGGTGCACGGACTTAGTTGCTCCACGGCATGTGGGATCTTCCCGGACCAGGGCTCGAACCTGTGTCCCCTGCATTGGCAGGCGGATTCTTAACCACTGCACCACCAGGGAAGCCCTACTTAATACTTTTTCTTAAAAGTGGTAGTCTTAGCCATTCTAGAACTTTTGCCTTTATATAAATTTTAGAATAAGCTTGTTTCTGTCTACAAAAAAACATTGCTGGGATTTTGATAGGAATTACAGTAAACCCATAGATGAGTTTGGGGAGAGTTGACACCTTTATTGAGTCTTACAATCCACGAACACAATAGTCTCTACATTTATTTAGTTCTTCTTTGATTTCTTTCATTAGCATTTTGTATTTTTTCAGCGTACAGATTCCGTACATGTTTTGTTAAGCTTATACCTAATCATTTCATTTCTTCAGAGCGACTGTAAATGGTCTTATGTCTTTAATTTCAGTTTCCATATGTTTGTTGTTAGTATACAGAAATGCAGTTGATGTTTATGGACGATAGCAAGTTTTGATTAACTATGGGCCCATGTTTGACTCTGTGGGTGGGTGAGGATATATTTATTCTCTCAGAGTATACTTAATAAGTGGAAATAAGAATCAGAGTAAATAATCACATTTATATGTATATTTTGTAGGCTGATTGTGAAATTGAAATATGACAAACATAAAAACGGCAAAAAACAACAGTTAAAACGACAATGGCAGGTACATTGAGAAACAGGTACAATGCTGAAAGCTCTGTAAGTTTAGCCAAATCTTTCTGGAAAGAACTCTGGAGACATATAATAAGTGACATTAAACTGAACATGCTTCCTGCCCTGGAAATTCTACTTTGGGGACATACTCCAAGGAAGTAAGCAAAAGAAAAGTCAAGAAGTTGACACAAAGATGTTTATGGCTACACTATGTATGAGGAAAAACTAAACCCAAATGGCCCAAACAGAGGAAAAACTACCATAGCTATAAAAAAATTACAAGTATAGGAAGTACTAATATACAGAAATGTACTATGAAATGTTAGGTGAAAGAAGCAAAAACAAATAATCTATCAACACAGAGTTTAAATACATATAATGTACACACAGACCTTAGCAGTATTCATAAAATTTTAAATAATATGAATAAATTATAATGACAGAAGTTAAGACAACAAATTAAAATGTTCTGTAAATTATTGACAGGATACTCTGTCCTGCAGCAGAAAATACTTAGGAGATATTCTTAATAAAACAATAGCTAACAAACTATTCAATAATATATATACAAATTTGATCAGATATTTTTCTAGCAGAAACTTGGCTCTCTTCCCTTATCAAATCAATACTCTGTTCTAACTGAAATTTGTTTTGTTTCTTTTAGAGATTAAAGTCAGCACTTTTACTGTTTTCCATACGATGTCTCTGTAGTTTGAATATAACTGAATTTAGCTGGAAACACTTTTTTATCTTTCTACTTTAATCACGCTAAATGTCTCTGGAAAAACAGTTTAATTTCCAACAGGCACAGTGATTAATCTCTGTTCATTACAGTGATCTGCTCAAGTGGCACTGAGTCCTTGAATTGTTTTGTTAGTTAAAAATGCTAAAGAAGAGGAATAAATCACTACAAAATTATTTGCCTCCATTTCTTGTGCCATTACAAGCCTTAATCAAATTAAGTGGAACTTTCAAACACAGAATATTACTATAAAGTAAAATTTTGATTCTTTTTGATATGTGAATAATGACACATAAAGTTGCTAGATTTGTAGTGGTATTTAATGGAAACATATGACTTATACCTCTTTAGAGGCTTTTGTGGAATTAATCACAAAGTTATGTACATCTGATTTGTATATATATTTTTAAAACAATTTTATTGAAGTATATTTGTTTTACAGTGTTGTGTTAATTTCTGCTGTACAGCAAAGTGATTCAGTTATAATATATATATATTCTTTTTCATACTGTTTTCCATTATGGTTTACAACAGGATATTGAGTATAGTTCCCTGTATGTACATCTGATTTAAATAAGTTATTTTAATAGTTTCCAGACAAAGAAAGCACAAGGAAAGAGGCATGGCTGAAGTATTAAATAATAATGCCTAGGGCAGCTAAAGCATCCAAAAGAGAAAGAAGAGAAAGCTTAGATTTTAAAACATAATATTGGTGCTTAGATTTTGTGGGTTTTTTTTTAAGTCCACATACATATAGTATTTGTTTAAAATGTAAACATATCAAATATGTGTTGGGAAAGGATAAAGAGGCTAAGACTCCAGGTATAATTAGAATAATACTTCTTTAACCTGGAGTTTACTTAACCATCAACCTCAGCATCTGGAACACATCAGGAAGCCAGCAACAAGCCACAGAGCATGAACACCACAAAGTCCATGCTCTCAAGTGTACAGGTAGGCCCAGGCTTTCATTCAGAGCTTCTTTACTCTGAATTGACTCATGGTTCTTTTAAGCGTGGGTATCTAGCTTATGACACCACAGAACATTAGAAGCAGAAGTTTCTGATGGTACCCAACGGTAATGGAAGAAAGAGAAAAGTCTATAAGCATCGACACAAGAACTTAAAGTTTGGAGTTGAGGGCTTCCCTGGTGGCGCAGTGGTTGAGAGTCCGCCTGCCGATGCAGGGGACACGGGTTCGTGCCCCGGTCCGGGAAGATCCCACATGCCGCGGAGCAGCTGAGCCCGTGAGCCGTGGCCGCTGAGCCTGCGCGTCCGGAGCCTGTGCTCCGCAACGGGAGAGGCCACAACAGTGAGAGGCCTGCGTACCACACACACACACACACAAAAAGTAAAGTTTGGAGTTGATTAGAGAACAAAGAGACATGTAAATCTTCCTCAACTCATGACAGGGTTACACCTTGAAAAACCCATCATACGTTGAAAATACTGTAAGTCAAAAATTCATTTAATACACCTCACCTATTGAACATTATAGCTTAGCCTAGCCTACTTTAAATGTGCTTGGAATACTTACATTAGCCTGTAGTTAGGCAAAATCATCTAACACAAAGCCTATTTTATAATACAGTGTTGAATATCTCATGTAATTTATTGAATATTGTACTGAAAGTGAAAAACAGGATGGTCGGGTACAGAGTGGTTGTTTACCTTCATGACGGCGAGGCTGACTGGGAGCTGCCACTGCCCAGCATCATAAGAGAGTATCATACTACATATTGCTAGGCCAGGAAAAGATCAAAGTTCAAAGTATGGTTTCTGTTGAATGCGAATTGCTTTCTCATCATCTTAAAGTCAAAAAGTCGTAAGTTGAGGACCGTCTAGATACATCTCAATAGTCTCTAATAGGCTCTGTATAATAATAAACTGATACTGCACCTGCTGATTCTGAGTCATTACAGAAAAGTTACAGTCCATTCAATCAATCCCATTTAGATTGGCTGGGAACTAGTAATTTTCGATAGACTGCTAATGAAAATGGATTAAACAGAATAAAAAATTGATGCTTCATAATAATAAGAGTTAATATTTACTGAGGATTTGCCATACACTAGAAACTGTGTTGAAAGTGTAACTCATTCATGCATAGAAAGGGTTAGCTCCAATTATCTGAAAACATTTAATTATATAAACTATTTCAATACTCAAAGATACTGGGTAAGGCATTATTGTTTTATTAGAAACAGCTTCACAGTATCCAGTCAAGGCTTGTACTTACCTACAGGGACAAAGGGGGAATCTCTAGATTTCCTGATCAGTCGGGATAACAGGCCTTCGTTCTCATCTGCTGACCACTGGTTATCTGAAGACATTTTTTCTCTCTAGTAACAGTAGGGGCTAATCAAAAAGAATCTGTTTCCGTCTCCCAATATACTCTTATGTGTTCTTCTGTCTTCATTTGCTTGACATGCTTGTCTGCTCAACTGAAATAAACAGTTATCTTTCCTTCACCCTTTGCATTGTGGAGTCCTTTCATTTTGTTTAGGGGTGGAGGAAAGAAAAATATACAAAGAGAGGTAAATGATGATCAGATTCCATGAATCCAGAGTAAAAACACAGATCATAAGTGTGTTATTCAGTCCCCTTTCACTGCTTGGCATTTGAAATCATTGGGAACCTCAGAACTTCCGCAAACAGTAAGAACACAGAGTTTCTTTCATAAAATATAGTTTTAAAGAATGATGGCAGTGCCAACATAGGCAAAAATACCTCCAGATTTACAGGTGATGGGAGAATGATCACTCCAGTTCTGCAGAATGTGTAGGGCATTATAAAGCACCTACCATGTACCAGATGCTATGCTAGACAATGGAAATAATCTTCCTTGTCTGCACAGAATGAATGAGGAAACTAGCAAGAGCAACTATGATCACAATCAACGTGGTCTGGCAGTACCTCAGTTTGTTATCCGTGCAACCCTCTATTTTCAACCCTCAAAATTCAAATATGGAGGCTTCATTCTACAAATCAGCTTTCATCAGAAAATGTAAGCCGGTAAGTGGAAGAAGCACAATACCTTTGGCGTACTCCACCACCTGCAGCCTGTTTCCTGGTGTTCGTTCAGCTGGAAGCCATAGATCAGAACAGGCTTTGTTAGGCCAGGACACGTTTACGTGCAATTTCCAGCTAATTGATAATGGGAAAGCCCAGAACCCTCCCCTCACCAAGGGGGCGTGGCCGGCTGGTATCGGCCATAGGCCAGGCTGGAAACTCACTGGTAGCGGCACCTGGACCACAAACAAGAGGCTTTCCAAGATAATATTCAAGGAAACGTTAGGCTTTTGAAGAAGATGCCTTTCCTTCTCCCTTCACAAGGACGCTCCCAACTTCCCTCTGTGGCTTTGAATCCCGCTACCCAACTCCTGGGCCTGAAATTGAAGGGAAAGTTGGTGCAGGGTTACAACACTGGGTTTGTAGGTGGGAGTGGGGGTTAGCCTTATGAGGCCAAGATTCTTGTGGTTTTTTTAGTGCGCTTGCCAGAGGGGCGCCCACTGTGGCCGAGATCCGGGACTGAGACGCCGCGAGCCTGCACCAGCTCGCCTGACCGCCGGACCGTCGCACCTGGCGGCTCCACGGGAGCCTAGAGCTGCACGCGCGCCCTGCCGGGAAGGACGTGATGTCACTGCGTCCCCGGCCAATCCGAGGGCAGGGCGGGCCGGCACGGGAAGACGCCGAGCGAGCTGCTGCCCTGCGCCTGAGCGCGGAGATTGAGGCTAATCTGGCTTTCCCGGCGGGTGGTGGTGGACGACCCCTTCGCTGCTGTTGTGAAGGTGCACCCTTGAGCCCCTTGAGGCCTCGGAGAAGTTCGGACTTACCGCCTCCGTCTGACTGCAGCCACAGAGACCTCAGGATGACGGCAGAGGACCAGGTAGCGTTCATGCTTTTTCCTTGTAACATTTAATTATTAAATAATTTTAGATTTACAGAAAAGTTCCCAGAATAGTACCCCAAAAATGTGTATCTGACACTTAGATACCCCTTTGTTAACATTGCGCCACATTTGCTTTATCATTTCTCTCTAGATACGATTTCTTCCTTCCTTCCTTCCTTTATATGAACCACCTGAGAGAAAGCTGCACCGATAGGCCTATACCCCTATATACGTTGTGTGCATTTGGGGAATTCTCTTACATAACCATAGTACAAGGAGCAAAATCAGGAGATTAACATTGCTATAATACTATAATCTGAAGATTTTATTCATAGTTCACCAGTGGTCCCAATAATCCTTAATAGCAAAAAAGAATTTTTTTTCTGGTCTAGGATCCAATCAAGATTACATATTGCATTTGGTTGTCAAGTCTCTTTAGTGTCCTTTAATCTGGAACATTTCCTTAGTCGGTGTATTACTCAAGGTTCTCCAGAGAAACAGAATTGATAGGATATATATATATATATATGTATATATGTATACCTGATCGAAGATATGCATATATACATATGTATGAGGAGATTTATTGCAGGAATTGGTTCACGTGGTAATGGGGACAGAGAAGTCCCAGGATCTGCCACCTGCAAGCTGGCAATGGTCTAAGTCCCCGTCCAAGTCCGAAGGCCCGAGAAGTAGGAGCACTGATGTCTGAGGGCTGGAAAAGGTAAATGTCCCAGCAGCTCAGGCAGAGAGCAAATTCACCCTTATTCTGCCTTTTTGTTTTACTCAGGCCCTCCACGGGTTGGATGGTGCTAAGGCGCATCAGTGAGGGTGATCTTTATTCAGCCTATCAATTCAAATGCTAATCATCTGAAAACACCCTCACAAACCCATCCAGAAAAAATGTTTTACCAGCTTTTTCGGCATCCCTCAGCCCAGCTAAGTTGTCGCACAAAATTAACCATCACAGTTGTCTTTTGTCTTTCAGGACCTGATACGTTGCCAATGCAGGCCAGTTATTTTGTAGGATGTCTCTAACTTTAAGTTTTATCTGATGCTTTCTCATCATTAGATTGAGGCTATGCATTTTTGGCAGAATATCACAGAAGTGATGTTGTGTCTTCTTGGCTTGTAATATCAGGAGGCACATAAAGTCAGCTTGTGTGGTGGTAGTAAATTTTATTCGATATTCTGCTGATAGATGTCTAACAACTGGATCTGCAGGGAAAAAAACCCCTTGTTGGTAATATTTGCCGATTTCCATGGTATAAATACTCCCACCCTGGTCGATTTCAAGCTACTGTCGTATAGTCACTGCACGCAAAATTGGGAACAGATGTGACTCTTCTGAGTTGGTGTGAAGTTGGCTCTAGCACACCACTGCTTTGATCACTTGGTTTAAGGTGGTGTCTGCCTGTTTCCCCACTGTAACGTTACTATTTTTTCCCTTTATAATTAATAAGTATTTTGTGAGGAGATACGTTTTTGTTTTTTTTTTTTTTTTTTTTTGTGATACGCGGGCCTCTCACTGCTGTGGTCTCTCCCGCCGCGGAGCACAGGCTCCAGACGCACAGGCCCAGCGGCCATGGCTCACGGGCCCAGCCGCTCCGCGGCATGTGGGATCCTCCCGGACCGGGGCACGAACCCACATCCCCTGCATCGGCAGGCAGACTCCCAACCACTGCGTCACCAGGGAAGCCCGAGATACTTTAATATTATATAAATATGCTGTTATTTATCAGATTTTTACCCATTAATTTCAGCACACAGTGATGATCCTTGCCTGGATCAATTACTATTATGTTTGCCAAATGGTAATTTCCGAAATCCATCATTCCTTTTATATTTTTCAATTGGTATTCTACTATAAGAAATTGCTTTCCCTCCTTCCCTGTTTAATTATTCATTTATTTATATCAGTTTGGACTCATGAATTTCCATTTTATTCAGTAGCTTATAATTCATACCATAATTAGTTTATTTTGATGGCCAAATTGTCCTAGATTTGGCTAGTGGGAGCCCCTTCAAGCTGGCTCTCCTATGTCCTATTGACATGACACTATCATTCTTCAAACACTTCTTTAAATCCTGGTGTAGCAAGTTGTTCCAGGCTGAACGTGTAATTTTTCTCCCCTAGCCCTGAAATCAGCCATTTCTTCAAGGAGTCCTGATTCATTTTAGTGGAGAATGATACTTAGAAACCAAGTTTTGGGAACTAGAGCTTCTCATTGTTACTGGAGTGTCATTACTTTTAGGTCCTCTTAGCAGAGTTAGGATTTATATCTCTCTATGTTTTTATTCCTATAAAGCTTTATCAAAACCATGAATTCATAGTAATATCTTCAGTTTCAGTGCAGTTCTGCAGTGTTCATTCCAGTCTTCCCCTTTTCATATTTGTGATTTCTTTTTCTGACTGTGAGAGACCTGACTCCCCCTATCCTCAGTATATTCATCTGCTTTATTCTAGACAAAAAAAGTAGTTTCAGAATTTCTAACCCATACCTCTGTGAAAAACAAGCCTATGAAATATTTTTTATAGTTCTTTTTGTCAAGGGAATACAGTCAAAGCACTGTCTTCAAAAATCACTTGGATTGAAAACATATGTCTACACAAAAACTTGTTCACAAATGTTCATAGCATCTTTATTCACAATAGCCAACAAGTGGGAACAACCCAAGCATCCATCATTCGATGAATGGAGAAATAAAATGTGATATATGCGTCCATGGAATATTATTTGGCCATAAAAAGAAATGAAGAACTGATACATGCTACATCATAGATAAACCTCAAAAACATGCTAAATGAAATAAGCCTGTCACAAAAGACCACACATTGTGTGATTCCGTTTATGTGAAATGTCCAGAATAGGCAAATCTTTAGAGACAGAAGGTGGTTGCCTAGGGCTGCGAGACAGTGGGGGCGGGGAAATAGGGAGTGACTATTAATGGGTACAAAGTCTTTTTAGGGGGTGATGAAAAGTGCTTTAAAAATAGATTGTGATTGTGGTCACAGAACTCTGAATATACTGAAAACCACTGAATTGTGTACTGTAGGTAAATGTTATATGAACTATATCTCAAAACTGTTGTTAAAAAAATAAGTCACTTGGAAAGAAAAGCTACTTGGATTAATTTTTTCCTCCTCCATCAATGTGGTTAACATTCATTTGAAATATATTTCAGTGTTTTTTTATTTTTCCATTTTAGAGGTCCCTCCATTTTTAATTTTATTTTATGTAAGACATTCTTTTACCTATTTTATATAAAACATAAACATGATTCCAAAAATCAAAACTATACAAAGGGTGGGCTTCCCTGGTGGCGCAGTGGTTGAGAGTCCGCCTGCCGATGCAGGGGACACGGGTTCGTGCCCCGGTGCGGGAAGATCCCACGTGCCGCGGAGCGGCTGCGCCCGTTAGACATGGCCGCTGAGCCTGCGCGTCCGGAGCCTGTGCTCCGCAACGGGAGAGGCCACAACAGTGAGAGGCCCGTGGTACCGCAAAAAAAAAAACCCACCAAAAACCAAAAAACTATACAAAGGGTATATTAAAAACTGTGTCACTCCTTTCTCCCTTTCATTTGTACTCTCTTCCCACTCACCCACTATAGACAACCAATCTCATTAGTTTCTAGCTTATTTTTCATAAATTTCTTTTTGCAAAAATAAACAGATACATATGTATTTTCTGCTATACTCTTCTTTTTTACAGAGAAGGCACCACACTGTAGTTGTACCTAATATAGCTGTTGCTAACTTAGTAATATATCCCTGAAATCGCACGTTATCACTTCGTATCACCTCTTCAGTCTGCTCTACAGCTGCATAGTACTCCACTGTGCAAACACGCCGTAGTACTTATTTAAGCACTCATATGTTATGGGCACCCAGCTTGGAAACATTACACACAACAGTACAATTAATGACCTCGTGCATCTGTATTTCCGTACTGTTGTAAGTGTATGTTCAAGGTGAATTCCTAGAAGTGGAATTGCTGAGTCAAATGGTAAATGCAGGTATAGTTTTGTTAGATATTGTCAAATTCCACAAGAGCTGTATGAGTTTGAATTCCTACCAGCAATATTCAGAAGTGTCTGTTTCTCCACAGTCTGCCCAGAAGAATGTGCTGTCAGGCTTTTGAAGTCTTTGCTGATCTGATATGTGAGAAATGATATCTCACAGTGTTGTTTTTTTTTTTTTTTTTTTT